TATTTGGATGGAAAAACAACAGTCATGGCCGTTGCGTTGATTTTTTTTCCTTTTGCTATCAGTTCCAGTTACTTGCGTATTTCTCAATATTTATACGAGTTCAAAGTGAATAAATAACAAGTGAGTTGTTATGTTTTTTTGTTGGTAATCAATTTGATCGGGGATTTACCACTGGCATTCCGATTCACCCCGGCCACATAGGGACTGTGCCCGGGCGATTCACAAAACGTTTGCGGGTCGTCATCGTTGTGGTTGCTCGATTCATAGAACAAAACCCCTGGTACAAAGCACTTCTGTCTAAGTTATTCCCGTGGTATACATATTTCGATGAAACATTAATGACAGCATGTTTTTATCAGGACACTTTCAAATTCTTAATTACATGTATTTGTTTGGCCTTTCCAGACCATCGGTACGGTGTGCTGGCCGTGGTAAACTGAATAAAACATAATTGCCGAAATCATCGGTTGAATGAAAGGTGTGAAAACATGCTAACTTTGTCCTTTGTGATCTTTGGATCTGATTAGTTGGCTGAGATTTAAGGCAGTACTCTGCAAGACATCCGGGAACTATGTCCGTTATATGCAGTGCAACTGATCGCGACAGCAGCTGAAGCCTCGCTGTTGGCCGCGTTAGACAGGTGGCCGCTATATACAGGGTACTTTACATGTAAATTTCATAAGGACTGTTCAGTTGCAATTATTGTCATAATTGATGGCTTGGTGTCAGAGTTTAAGGGTGGTATCAGTAGTAAAGATATACAGGTAGGTGGAGCTACTATTGGTTGGCATGGGGACAAATAACTTAAGTTTCATGGGAATCTGAGCAGAGATTTTTGTAATATCAATTAAACAAGAATTCCATTTATATGCAAGTTAATTGTTAACAGATTTTTATCAAAAGCTAAACAGATCTTGAAAATGTCCCATCGAATATGGCTGCTCAGTTTCATCTGATTCTGATCACCGATTCTTGAGATATCACGATCACAAATTTTCTGCATACCAGGACAAGACAGATAGCACTACATCGCACGTTTTGACTGTCAACGGGAGCTAATAAAAGTCCTTAAACAAATGTGATAATATATCTAAATTTTTACATGGAAAATACTGGCTAAACTTTAGGGGCAAACAATTTGGACCAGAAATAAACAAGAGCTGTCGGGAGTCAGAGACTTGTGTGTACTTGAATTCACTACTATTGCAGGCCCTCAAGTTATCATACAAGGAGAATTTCTGACAGTGCAAAGAAACAGAAAATTTACAATCTAGAATACACTTACCTTTGGGTATTTATCTGTAATAACGACTATTTTTTCATCTTTATAGACCTGTAGATCAGGGTCTTTCATAGATTCTGTTAATCCTTGAAACCAAAATCCTTTCTTCTTAACAGGTGGTTTTTGCCTGTTTGATGAACTTTTACCACACCACTAGGGATCTCATCATCATCCTCAGAATCACTAAAATCTTTACGTTTTTGTTTCCCAGTTTTACTCAAGTCTGATGAATTTTTGTCATCTATAGCTGTGCTATCATTGTCGTCCTCAGAATCACTAAAATCTTTCCGTTTTTGTTTCACAGTTTTAATTAAGTCCGATGAATTTTTACTGTCTGTATCTGTAATTTCATCTTCATCTTCAGAATCACTAAAGTCTTTCAGTTTTTGTTTCCCAGTCTTGCTCATGTTAACCTATAGGAAAAGCAAATAGAGGAATTCATCTTTCAAGCAAATTTTCAAGAATGTTTTCAGAAATTTAGATACATTTACCATAACAAGATTAAACAAGCAGCCTTTCGACTGAGATAGCTCTGCTGTTAGCAATGCACATTTCAATAAAAGAATTGAAAATATCATCACAAAAAAAACAAATCTGAGAGAGAACTACTCAAGGTACATATATGTATAATATCAAAGCAATAAGCCTTGCAGTTTTCAACAAGAAGTCAAAAATATCACTTTTTACCAAAAATTACAAAAATATTTTCCAAAATTAGAAAATTAAAGATATCGTCATAAAAATGAACAATTCTAAGTGAGGTTTACCAAAGGTACATATACATCAAGTATGAAAGCAATCAGGCTTGTAGTTTTCAAGAAGAAGTTAAAAAAGAAAAAAGTTGACGCGGACGACGACAGACAATCACACATACATGTATGATAAGCTCTGCTCGACAAAGTCAACACGGGAGGTAAAATGAGCAGCAATTACTTTTTGTACTAAGTGTAGTATTTTGTGTATAATAAGCGATACAGAGACATGATGTTGCTTAAGCCAGGGACAACCAAAATTGGCGTGCTATAAAATTTCAAAGTCTTTGTTGGAACACTGATATTCTACTACTGAATAATCTATGAATATTAGAGTAGTGAATCGGAGTGTTGTGAGCAGCTTACATATGAAACTAGTCTGTGCATAGGAGTTCTTATGGTAATGTACTGAAGTCCTGGAGACAGCCAATCAGTGACAGCAAATCAATACCAGTGAATTTATCATATCATTGCTACAGATTATTCACAATAATGTATCAAATTATTGAGAATCAAGGCTCCTTACCATCATGTTTTCGGTAACAAAAAAAGAAGGAGGAGGCATTTAACCTGACGGTCAAAATAGCTCCGCTATTTCAGCAGAGCCTTGAGTGTACCCCTAATGTCATACCATGTCGGAAATAGATATGGATAGAATTATTGTTTACTATTATTACTGCTATTGTGTATCGTTTTATATTATTATACTGCTATATACATCGTTTATAATTACACCGCCTAAGCTTGAATGTAACAAAACGGGATACGACCTTGAACACTGTGCTATGAGCGAAC